GTCGCGGAGTGGATTTTGAGGCAAGAAGAAGTGGTATGACAGGACGAACGTACCGTAAATACCGAGTAAAACGAACGTGCTCTTAAGAGGGTTGGCAGCAGAGGTGGTTGGTAGGGGGGGGGGCGCCTCCTACTACTACTACTACTACTACTACTACTACCAGCTGCTGCTGCTGCTGCTGCTGCTGCTGCCGCCTCTGCCATTTCCACTGTATCACTACCAGTCACTACCAATCACTACCGCTACCGCTACCACTACTGCTACCACCACCACCAGCCACCGCCGCCGCCACGGCTACCCCTACCACTACCTACCACCACCGCCACCACCACCGCCACCACCACCACCCAAGACCACCACCACCACCGCCACCGCCACCACCTACCACCACCACCACGGCGCCTACTACTACAAGTGCTGGTGCTGTGTGTGATGTTGGCAGGACAAGCAGCCCAGCTCCTTGCTGGGACTAGTGGGCCGGCCGCCGCGGATGTACAACGGCGCACAGAACCGGGAGCCCCGAGACATCAGAGGGCTCCACAGGTGTCGGGTCGCGTCCCAAAACCAGAGTCCTCACATCATGGATTCTTTATCTTGGCGAGATTTGTCGCACCTTCGGGTCCCTTCCTTCACGTTAGGGGAGAGTTGTTTTGACTACACCGGGCTGGTGGACAACGAGCCTGCTGCAAAAGGTCCCTGACGCAACTCGTAGGTTTTCCGGATCCCTTCACACATGAATTAACAACCGAATGGTCTGTGAAGTTACCTATCGCCCGCCCTCGACAAGACACCTGCAAAAACACACTCCGCGCTCGCTTGTGAGTGTGTGCGTTTGTCAGAATTAATTAGTTACGACATATACTGAAACAGTCAAAAAGGTTCTGGATTGATGCTTGTAATGTACTAACATGTCTATTTGCTTGCACACTTGCTTGACTACCTAACTGCTTGCCTCCTCCTTCCCTCCCAACCTGCTATCGCTCTGTCTCTATCTAGGTTTGAAGCTGCGTATACATACGTATAGTTATGCGTGCACATTCACGTGATAGGCACTGATAGGCCATATACAGACTCACTTGCATGTGTGAGGAGGTGCGGATGCTCTGGCCGAGTTCCCCCTTTGCCGAGGATATGATCTGGGAGGCCTTCTGCGCAGATATGCCATCAACGTCCCTCCCCTTTTTCACCCCAGTCTCTCTTGTGCCTACCCATAGGCCCCTAAGTAGTTCCTTTTTGGGATTACCTTATAGGATTCTAAATATAAACCATAAATAGGAACTACTTAGGGGCCTATGGGTAAGCAAGTAACTTTGTATCTGACCGCCCCATCCTGCTGTTGCTGCCTGAAACCTCGCCTGGCCCAGTCAGGCCCGAGTGCTCAAAATCTACCTCCCTCTTCTGACGAACTGGACTCAACAAATTATTACACCCAAGCAAAGCAGGGCCCTAATATTATGATTTAAGGTATATTCCTTCTTTAAGGGGCTTATCAGCCTGGAGTAATTAGGGGGTAGCTTTATTGGCGTTTTGAATGCATCTTTCGGTAGCCCCTACCGCAACCAACCCTGGTACATGCATCTTCACTTGGACTCTCCAAGTTGCAAGGGTTGTCCTCCAAGCCTTTCATCGCGGAAACGCCCAGACCCCCGAAGCGCACACTTAAAATCTCGAAACTCCCAACACCTTAAGCCCTCTTGGATACGTTTCACCTTTATAAAGCGACGGAAGCACCAACAAACCTGGCCTGGCCTGCCCGAGAAAGTTTGCGCCGAAACGCCTCAATTTTTGGGCCCAAGCAATTTCTGCTTCTTTTCAGCACCTGCATTGCAAGGAGCACCGGTCCTTCTTAAGTCCACCATGGGCTGCCAGACAAGCAAGGCAGCCGCAGCGCCGAAGGCTCCCCTTGCCGTGACGGAGGCGCCCGCGGATTCCAAGGCCTCCACGGAAGCCCCGACGGAGGAGGCTCTACAGGGGATCCTTTTAGGGCTTATAGGGTTTATAAGGGTTATTATAGGGGACCCGTTTAGGGCTTATAGGGTTTAGGGTTTTAGATAGGGGATCCTTTTGGGGGTTTTAGGTTTATAGAGGGTTTAGATAGAGGGATCCTTTTGTGGGGGTTTAGGGTTTATATATAGAGGGATTTCTTTATCCCTGTCCCTCAGGTGGCTGAGAGAGCCTCCGGCTCCTCTGCCTCGGACGCTCTGGAGGAGACGAAAGCGGTGCTGGAATCCGCCGCGGCAGCCGCTGAGAAGGCGAAGGAGGACCTCGAAGAGGTCAAGCAAGCGGTGAGCAAGGAGGGGGACGTCAAGGAGGAAGCGGCGGACGCGACTGAATCGGTGAAGTTGCAGCTGAAAGGCCTGAAGGAGGAGGTCGCCGATGTTCCGGCGGTGGTGGAAACTGCGTTGCAGGGCGAGGCCAAGCAGCCTACCTGCAACCTCTTCGCGATGTGCGGTGCTTGAGAAAGTGGAGGTTTCTGGCAATCAGCGGCGCCCTTAATCCGAAGCCCTCCGCCCGACATTCCTGCAACTTCCGAAGCAGGTTTAGGAAACTTCGACACACAGTCGACCCTGATGCCTTAAGCTTGGGAGCCCCCTATGCTGAGAATCCCCGCTGCTTTTGTACGGGCTTGTGTCCTGATCGGCGGTGCATGGGAACTGGGATACCGTTTAGGGTGAAACCCACCTGCACTTGGACGAAACTCGCTATTGTAATTGCCCTGCAGTTGCTTTTGACCTCGACCCTGAGCCCTAAACCCTTAATCCTAAACCCTAAACCCTGAGCCCCAGACCATGCATGGTGCAACCGTTCCGCTGTAGAAGACAGCTCCAGGCTTCTGTCTCAGGAGCCTCACATGCCTGATTTTGCAGATCCTCCAAGAACGCGACTAGAGTCATAGAGACTTGTGAAGTATCTGGAGGTTATGTATGTTCAGGTAGAAGCGTATGTACTTGGCCGTGACAAGCGTTCAGAGAATGAATTCGTTTGGCCTACAGATGATCGTGCCAGACGTTGCACACTGCGCATCACATTACCAACCTGCTGCTGTCGCGACGACGTTTGCAACAGCAGCTTCGGGTTCAGGGGTGCAGTCGGTTTAGTCGGACGTGACAGCTTACGACGAGGAGACCCGCAAAGAACCCGAATTGCTGGCTTGGAGTGCGCCAGAACTTCAGTGCTCCTACCAGGAGTTTGAAGCAGACAAGCAAAAAGGCTGTGGAGTTGTGTCTCTGCTAGAGTTAGTCTTAGAGCTGTTCCAGTTTCGTGCAGTGGAGGACTGTTTGTTCTTTGGGTTGGTGTTTGACAGCACTGGTCGAGACATGCAGCTGGAACAGCTCGGTACAGAGAACCTTGTCGAGTACGCATGCGATGGACCTGAGAGATTGGTTCCAGATTGCAGTAATTGTTCGTGGAGGGTTTATGGATAGCCGTGTGGAGATGAGTTCATCTCCAGTTGCTGATTAAGTTTCAGCACCGAGGCGCAGTGTTGCTGACACGTGCTTTCAAGCCATTGTCCCCATCGTTGGCATGGTCAGCGTCGGAAAGTGGTAGTGTTCACCTGTGTTGCACTAAATCCGTTCGGTCCAGTTCAGAGCTCAGTTGCATCACAGGTGTCGCGGATCCTTGCCTGCCTCATAGAAACCCGCCAAAATCACTCTCAACCCTAACCTCTACAATAATTATCCGCAGCCCTACGACGCCCCCTCGTCGCAGCTTCACTCGCCTGGAGTGCCCGTATTGCCAAAAGCTTGAAATCAGAATGTACAACATATAATATGTGATCTGGAAGAATATAGAACAAAGTAAATTTCACAGCACGTAAAATGGATAATCGTGCAGCAAATTTTCATTACTGTGTAGTCTCGAAGAAGAATGTGAACTACATGAGTATATATGTTTATGTCTCTGTGTGTGTATGTCAGTGTATGTGTATATATATATAATCAAGTCTACCTGCTTATTTGTTTCATCATTACTGTCCAGATAGTAGTAAGTAATGGCAGTGATCACACTAGCACGAGTAATAATTTTATCCATCATCGTAAGCATATTCGTAAGCCACAACCGCAATCATACTGGTAACCACTTTAACAATAATTCGCATTATCAGTGTTACTGTGATTACGATTAGGATTATGATTATTACCATTCTTATTATCATTATTATGAATGTTTTCATTATTGCTATTCGCATTATCAGTATTTGCATTCTCAATTCTTTTTCTTATTCATATTTTTATTCGCGAGGCACTGGGCCGCTCCACGCAGTTTGCGCATCCCAAACCCGGCCGGGGAGGAGCGCGACACGGCTGCCGCGACGCGGCTTCGCAGAGCCTTCGTGGGTAGTTCTCTAAATTAGGGTCCCTCTTTAAAGGGTTCCTTAAAGGGATCTTTATAAGGGCGGGCAGTTCTCTAAATTGAAGTACTTTTTAGGGTCCCAAGAGAGTACGGCACCCTTGTGAAAAGGACCCTAGAAGACACCCGATTCTAATGTAGAGAACTACCTTCGCAGCTACGTGTGCGGTCTACGATTGATTTATGTGGTTCTGTGTGTATCTATTGGCTTAGCCGCCAGGTGTCGGCTTCCAGATTTCTTTCCTGTGTGTACCTAGATGCAAGACGGACGACTGAACATCCATGGTATGCATTTGTTTAGTTCAGAGAAAGGTGAACAATGATGAGCCTTCGATGCTGGCGTAGTTTCCTGATTGGCGTATCGTGTTTGGCGTTTAGTCGTCGTTCTCATCAGCACAGCCAGTTGGAGGCCTCCATGTTCTGGTTTCTGGCTCCACAAATCTACCTCTGAGCAGATGATCGTCACCCAAAGGCTCGAAAGCGCTCGAAACCCTAAACCCTGGAACCATGCAGACGGTCACAAGTCAGGCGTTTGATGTTTGGATCTCCTTCTCGCTCTCTTTGCGCTGTGCCTTTCTTCGTCCGTCTCCACGGCCGAAGTATTCTTGGGCCCATCTTCGGTACCTTCACCACATCTGGGCATCTCAATGTCTCGCAATGTCTCGCTCTCTCTCTCTCTCTCTCTCTCTCTCTCTCTCTCTCTCTCTCTCTATGCCTGCCTGTTTGCTCGAAGACTTCC